GAGTCCAAGGTTTGTTTGTTTATGTGAAAGTTTCTCTTTGAGGCGCTAAGAGGTTTTGCCACCTCCACTCCGTGGTGTGATTTTCAGCCAAGCTGTTACCCAGAATGAGAACAAATTACCCACACTGCAGTAATTCCTTTCTGTGTGGCTTATTCCTAAGATGTTTATATTGGCATCCAAATAAATGAGACTCCAAACACCCACAAGTTCAGCACTATCATTAGAGAAAACACTGTTAAATGACAATAGTGCAGTTGACTGAGTGCTGTGCCTTCATGTTTGTAGGCATGTATTAATCCCTACTGACCACACATATTGTGAGAGTATATTAAAGACCTAGAGCCATCTGCCCAAAATAAAGTTTTATATATTTTCACTGCAGATCAGAAATACATATCAACTTCAAGCTGCTATCAGGCAATTGTAAAAAAGATTCAGATAAACTACTGCAGATGTATGTTTCAGTATCTGGTTTGCCTACATTAAAGGACTGACAAGTTGTTTTTTGTCAGCTACAATATGTATTTAGCATTTAGTGTGTATTAGTCATACTGACATGTGTTTATGGTAAAAACACAACAGGTTAACCTATAAAACAGTTTAACAGTGAATGAAGGAATAAATTGAAAGGTACATAAAAGTAGGGAATTACTATTATTATTTATATCAATAGCAATATATTTGTCCAATCTAATCCTGTAAGGTACTACAGGTACTGACGAATAAAGACCATACCTGTAAAGCTAATCTTTTTCTCACTATACAAATACATGAACTTTGACGCAAAAAGTGTAGTTTCTCAGTGTCTTCTTTCCCCATGACAGCGAGAGCAGCAGGGTGTACTACAAAGCAAGATTACTGAGCCATGTAGACCTTAAAAGCCAGAGTTTCACCTGGCTGGATCACCATGGTAACTCAATACATAACCTAGTCCAAAACAGGTGATGTTCAGAGTTTCAGTTTGAAATGGGCTGGAACCTTTTTTTAGTTTATTAACAGTAGGATTTGCAATAAATAAAGTGTGACACAGATTCCCTGCTTCGGTTTCAGCAGCACATGCTGTGTGTTTTACATTGTCTCTGGAATTTCCATGTATTCAGCTGGTGACCCAGTATGTGGATACATTTTTATGTTTGTCTTTTTAAATCTGCTGCTGAGTCTTCTTTTTTCATACTGCTGGAATAGCAGCTAGAGCACAAATTAGAAACTGAAAAAAGATTTGCTGCGACGGAATATTAGGGACACATTAGGGGAAAAGAATATTGTTGATCATTTTGAGAATAAAGTCAAAATTTCAAGATTAAAGTCGAAAATGTATTTTGAGATGTGAAGATTACCGTTACTGTTTCACAACAAACTGCCATGGCTGCTATACCCTTTACAAAACCTTGTTTAAATGAGTTGGTGACACAAACTGATCAGCCACCTTGTGATAAGACATACATCTTCTTTATTGCACCACAATATCACCATTGATAACCTTTCATCTGTCTATTTTAAGCCATTCCCTTTTGAAATGGTAAATTCCCATTTACCATTTACCATTCATTCCCTTTTGTGATAATCCACTCGTCTGCATTTGTGTTTTTCTGCCTGATCACAAGCACCTTTTCAAAACTGATTCTGAAGTACGATTTCACTAACTCAGAGGGTCCAGCAACCGTGGCAGTTTGTCTTGAAACAACAACTGTAATCTCCATAGTTTGACTTTTTTCTCAAAACTGAATTACGACTTTAATCTTGAAATTTCAAATTTATTCTCAAAACCTTTATTTTTCTTAATGTGGCACTCATACTCCTTCCTAATTTGCTGTTAATAATAAGCTGTTGGATCAACAGGATAAATTTTACTTTGATCTGACAGCAAACTAAAGATTTTCACACAAGTTGGAAATGAACACACTGAGTAACCTTTAATGTTTGTGTGTCTGCAGTCTTAATCTCTCATGTTAGAAATAAACAGCAGCACACCGAGCAGAAAATAAGTATAATAACTGTTTATTTCACCTGCACTTGTAACGATCTAATCAAAAAGTTATTACTAGAGTATTACTATCTTGTATTATTTTGCAGCAGCAGCATCGGATTTTACTGTTATTTTTCTAGATCTTTAGAGAGCTCTATCACCGGTTCTTCAGATGATGCATCTGAATGGAGCAAGCCCTTAATTCTTACGTTTTATGCAGAAAAGTCGAACGATGTGTCTCACGCTCACAATTATGTGAGTGAGCACAGTCTCTGAATCAAAAAAGCCTGAGTTAACAAAGAATGATGATAGTCACAAATGTGGTACTCATCGTCAATCAAACTTAACAAGACAATAACAATAATAAACAATAAAATAACAAAGAATAAATGTATGACACATGAATAATCCTAAATGTATTGGTATGTGTGCATAAATTGTTTCTTTAGTTATACATTTCCCCATCTCTTAATTTTATTTAATCATTTATTTATCTCCCAGGAAAACAGCTTTGGTTGACACACTGTTGCAATAAGAATAGTTTTTTAAGCGAAATTTCATGCGTGCCTGTGTGTCCACACGCTTTCAATTACAGACAATCGAGACACGCAGCCATATAACTCAGTTCCGCTCAACTGCAATGGGAAACTGTTGTCATGAATATTTTATCTCTGGATGTGGTGAAAGCAAAGCAGACGTCAAGCTGCTGAGCAGCTACACAACTCAAATCTCTTTACACTTGTCTTGCTTCCAGTCTGTACCTCTCTCCAGCTAGCATCAATCACAACGCCAAACAGAAGCCTCGACTTGACTGCTAAACACATTCTTTCAGCCACGGTGATTAGTGACAATTCAAACAAAAAATATCCTCGGCATATAATTGGGGGCCGTGAAAACCGAGTGACGCTGTCAGAGGCAAAACTGTTGACCACTGGGACATGTGACATTAAATGTAAAATGAAATTATTAGTTACGCTTAAGCAGCCGTCTGAAAAGACAGCAGTTCAGACTAAGGAAAGAGAAAGTCATGCTTTTGCCGTCTATATCTCATAAACACCATCCAGCAGGTTTCCATCAATTTCTATTGCAAAGAATAAGAGCTGTGAGTGTTTATGGATGTGGATGTGGATGTTTAATATATCATAAAGAAAGAATCATCTGCTAACTTCTGTTCATTACCATGTTAATATAACAATGTCTACAATTAACCCCGCCCCCTTGAAACTGAAACCTGAATGCAAAGTAACAGCAGCTAATTAACCAAACAGATCATTGCTTGGAGAGGCCTTAGAGGAAACTGTATAAAGTCATTAAAGCATTAATTTTATCCACTAAGAAGACACCTCTACTATTAAAGGGGAGCTTTAACAATTAGAAGCAGCATTTAAAAAGTTTAGGGGTTATATTTTCCACATGATCACATGCTTATGGGGCCTGAGAAATGCCCTGAGCATGCTAATTAAAACAGCAGTGTGGCTGACCTTCACCACCTGAGCAGCACTGGGCATTAATTCCTGCAGACATGCACATTCTTTAAGCATCTTCTTCAAAAATAAAGAATTCAATGCTCCTTCATTGTAATTGAAGCTTTCAATCAAAATGGGAAGAAATTAAGATAAAAAGCTACAGAAACAATTATTACCTTATGGAGCACTTGGCTTTTTCCCTTTGTTTTCCTTGTCAAAAGAACCGAGCTGGAATGCAGCTTACTACGGGCAACAAATTACAGTGTGACAGCATGAAACTGCTCAGCGTCATGCCTCATAATCATTGACTTATTCATCAGCTGACAAGTGAAATCACAGACTCCTAACTCTCTCCAACACACTTAAACTTGGGCAGGTTGTGAGAGTAAGCCACGTTAGCTGTCATTCATTTTTTAAATATGGAAAGTGGACCATGAGTGTTCGTGTCTCACTCATAGTCCATCCAAATGTTTACGCATGTGAAAGAAAGAAAGTTAATGCAATAGCATTAGCATTAACTTTCTTCAAGTTACATATCATTGATATGAGGAACTTTGGTTTATTAGTGTGTCAGTGACATCTTTCATTTATGTGAGTATGGGGAAAATAAATTATTAAAGTGGAACTATTTTGCTTTTTCTTGTTTTATGTCATATAGTTGCTGTTAAAATGGTGTGTAGTGATATTAAACATGTGACCCAATATCAGCTGCTCAGGACAGTTCAGGAAACTTGTGGGTGAAGCAAGAAGACAAAACTAAATAAACTGACTATCTGCTAATATTTATACGAATTTTACTTTTGAAATGTAAATTTTAAAGGTGTTCCAACTCATTCTAATGTCTAATGCACTGACAAGCACAGGACCTTTTACAGAGTTGTCACTGATTTACAGTCTGCAGCGACAGAATCAACAAAATAGCTGATTAAAAAATCTGGTGTCACTTTTCCCACAGTGTTCATCCATTCTACTTAACTTCATATCATTTTAGATAAACACGGAGCTGTTTATCAGAGCTGCCCAAGGCCACTAGTTCGTGTTGTCCTCCCATCCAAGCAGCAGAAGGCACATTATTCTATTTAAGGTGTGAAAGGCTGTGTTTCCACATAATTTATTTCCGACAAGAAATTGTACTGGCAACTGAAAAATTCTGGTTCACTGAAAGGGATAACCCTGGGAGTTCTTAAAAGTGCCTTAGCGAGGTCTGGGTCACACGGAGCATGAACGACAGCTTTTATTCTCATTCAGTTGTGAAATTCGCTGCATATCTCTTCATTTGATACTTGACTTCAGCTAATATTTTGGCATATTTTTTTTCCTGAGTCTTCAATTTTGGGTAGATCTGGAAGCGGTGAAGGCCACAGCACATGATTTACACCATTTTCACATTTATCAAACTATTCACCGTGCCTCTGTGCCCTTCTCCAGTTATGTTTTCCCATTGATCTGTCACCTGTGTGGCTAAATATGAATGAAAGAGAATTAAATCATCTGGATTTTATCCAGGTATGCAACACTTTAAAATGTCAAGAGTACATGAGGGCGTGTGGTTTAGCATCAGCACTTACTTGGACACCAGAGAGAAGGCTTCAGCACATACAGCTGGACATGGCACCAGCTTGATCATCACGTGTTCGGCAGCAGCTTGGAAATGCGCCCGCGTAACCTTGTCGAGCACCGAGGCCAACGTGGCCACATCGCCAGCTTTTGTGCTGGGATCTCCGCCCGCTGTGTCCAAGATGTTTCCCCCATGCACCACAAGTATTAGCACATGGGTCTTACATTTTCTCTGCAAGGGTGTTGAAAAGGGACACGTTAAACACGGGAGTGAAAGGGAGAGAAAAAATAAGGGCAACATTTTGTGAAAGGGATGAGTACTCCTCCATGTTATTGGCTACTAGTGAACAGAGGCTGTTTTGTAATGGTCCTACCTCTGTATCGTCCACTCCTTCAATGCTGCTCTGAGGGGCACAGCGTGGACCTCCCAGCTGGTACAGACCCTCTGTATTGCATGAGTAAAGTATAGGGGCAGGAAGTAGCAGCAAGGGAGAACGAAGGAAGGAACAGAGACAGAGAAAAGGAAAGAATGGGTCACGGCAGGAGATACTTCAGCCAGACACACTAATAACAAAAGCATAAATGGATATTGATTAGTGAATATGGTCAACATTACGAAAGCCTCTTCATCTCTCTCTATTTCGACTTCAAACTGTGCAGTGGTTCAATATGCCCTGAGGCTCAAATAAAACAAGCATGAGATTCAGAGATCAGTACCAAACAGCAAACAGCAGTAGTTTTTTCTGTGGCAGCATCTACAGCAAATCATCACGTGAGATGCAGAAAGAAAGATGAGGGCACAGTTTTTGTTTTGTTTTTTTTAACATCCACCAGTATCTCTCCCTCCCTTTTGAAGGTGCAGCATTTCTTTGGAACCTGGCCAAACTCATTACCCTCTCCGGAAGCCTCTGCATGCTGTGTCATCCTATTCCTGAGCTCTCTCCTGTCTCTCTATTTTCTCTCTCCCGGCTTAAGGCGCAGCTCTGTGCTTTTGCTCGCTCACTCGCTCGTTGTTTATTTGGCCCCCTCGTCTGGGACTGACTGTCATGGGAGGCTCTCACAGACTCATGCACCGTCGGCTTCCTTCTACCCAGTTCCTAGCCCACAGCTTGCCTCCAACTGCCTGCTTGTCTAGAACAGATCAGCACGCACAGGGGACTCAGCATACTGCACTATTCTAGTCACAAAGTAACAGGAAATCAATGGAGTAAGTTTTTTGGTTTTTTTTTACTGAAATAGGAAAGTAGGGTAGAAAAGTTCTTCCAAAAACCTTGAAGTATTTTAGCGTGCAAACACTGCCGAAGACCAAAATGTTGTGGAAATTGACAGCAAATACAAAACCTCAGCTGCTTGACAAGAAGATGGCTGTATCTACTTTTTGATTATTCATTAATGTGTCAAACATGAGGCCACTGATATAACAACAGGTGAAGAGTGAAGAACAGTCTGGATTCAAACCGAGAACTTTCTTCTTTCGAGCTTTATTGTCCGCACAAAATGATTAAAATAAGAATTAACTGTTGACTTTTCAGTTTCCGCAACCATTAGCACCATTAACATGTCAAACAAGCACATAAAGCTACCGACACAATTCTCAACAGCTTTTGTCTTTATTTAAATCCATCATTTTAAGCTTTGAAAAACTGTCCGTTTTGTTTTCAAGACATGCATGTGTCTTAATAAAATTATGAACACCATTTAATTAATGGAACTATTTGTATTTAACATATTACTGTGAAAGCTGGTTGAAGTCCAGACGGAGACGGAGACACAAATTGAGGCCGTGTCAAGAAGGGGATCCAGAATAAAACTCTGCCAGGTCAAACATTTGGAGGTACCCCTATGGCAAGGGAGTGACTCACAAACTGACATGAATAAACCAATACCAAACTTTTATTACACAGAAAGAAGTAATCACAAATAGTACAAAAAGTCCAGAACATACATTTTAAATTCTCAACAAATACAACCACAAAGACAGAGGAGGGGATATTACCAGAGAGCCAGACACCAGGAAAACCGATGCTATAAACACAACAAGGACTAATCGGGGAGAGGAAATACCTGGGATACAAGAACCAGCAAAAAACTAATCCAGGACAATGAGACAAGTAAAAAGTAAAAGTAAAAAGAAGATACAAGAGACAAGTCAAATCAAAGCTAAGGCTCTAAGGTAAAAATGAAAAGCAAACAAAAAATTCTCAGAAACAGCCAGAAAACTCAAAATAACCCAAAAACCTACAAATCATAACAATTATGCCTGATAGACGCAGACCAGAAATCTTCTGGTTTAAACTTTTTTTGGTTCTCTTGAGAGAAATGATGGAAAAACTTTAAGAGTAATGACTCACAAAATGCTCTACACTCACTTTCAGCAAATAAAACCTGAAAACATCTTAAGGTGAAACCACTCGAAAAATCTGACCATAGACACACTAACAGAATCACTTGAAACAGTGTGCGAGAAATGAAAATCTTGAGTGAAACCTGGAGAAATTGGAGCAGCACCAAAAAGCGGAAAGCTGAAATAGGTTTTATTACATGTTCGCAGAATAATATCACTGTGGCTGAATGAGTGACATAAGATTAATTTGGCTTGGAGAAAAGGAAATGTTGCAGTGACATCCAAGGCAGTTTAGATTTTTGATGTCCAAAAAAGAATAAAGCCAGCGGATCCTGATTCTCTCATATCATTTACTGATTAAACTAGATAGGACAATGACATTGCATCCAAGAAATGCCAGTATAAATAAAACCTACATCTGAAACATGAAAAATGAACTGGCTGCCAATGGGCAGCAAACAGCTGCATTCAGCAGGTTGTAAAGAGAAAGACAAAGGAAAGAGCAGAGCTTCACTCCTCACCTCGTCATTTGTGAAAACAGGACACATGCTGCGCTCCTCCTGGCTTCAACATTAAGTGAAGCATTTGTCTGATATGGGTGCATGTTTCTATTGGCGCAGCTCAGTGGTATAAACTTGCCTTCCTGTGGCTAAAGCTAAACCATTTTCTTCCATCTACAGCAGACTTTTTTGCTGCGGGGGTGGGGGGGATTCTTACCATCTGCGTTTCTTTTTCATTTTCTTGTGTTTCTTCTCTCAGAGGTCTGAGTCCTCCCGGTCAATATGGGCTTTATGAAGCACATATTGATCTAACCTAGAAAGCACCCAGTGGGAAGTTGACAGTGCCCTAGTTCAGTGGCATCGCGGCCATTTCCAGTGGCTCTAAGCCCAGGCAGGCACACACTAACAGCAGGCGAACAGAGTGCGTCAATGCATCTGTTGTCATACTGAGATATTTCATAAGTTATCTACGAGAGACGGAAAGGAAAATTGAGCTAAGGAACAGGGTTGCGAAGATGAGAACAGCTCCACAGAAAAAATCTCCAAGAGCTGAAAGTGAAAGGTTGAAAATACTGACATATTGATCTCTGTCAGGATGCCCCTTGTGTGTCATTCTGTCAGTGTAACTATGATTTAAAATGTCATTGTCTATAAAATGGTGGCTTCTTTTTGTCTCATTTATCACCTTGCATTCAGCAGATGGAAGGAAAACAAACGCAGCAGGATGAGACTAACTTCGAGACAACAGAGTTATAGCTTCCCCAGGGTCTATGAAAATGGCAAAACGCACTCAAAGTTTCCTGTCTGTTGGAGTGTGATTCAATTCATTAGAGTTCCAGTATCATGGTGAATTATCTGTGTTCCCGCAAAGACGCGAACAGAAAACAGCAGCATTTTTCCTTCCCATCTTTGATTGAACAAGATACACTATAGACTCAAGCAGCAAGACAAATGTGTGAAATGCAGAGCAAAGCTGCATGATGTACTAAACAGGTGTGGGAGAATAATCCGCAAAGAGTGTATTAAAAAACAAACATTTAACTTAAACTTGCAAGTGCATTTTCAACATAAAACCTACACTGACGTATTATGACTGCATAGAATCTTTAGGGTGAATGTTGCAGGCGGTATAACGTTCGGCACAGCATCGCTAAACTCTTTCACGTCTCTGTCACATATTCTCACTGTGAACCTGCCCTCACCTGTGAAGAGAATGGGTCACACGTTGCACACCTGCCAAGTCTGGTGTTCTCTAGCGAATGCCAATCGAGCTCCATGATACATGGCTGTGTGAGCAGTCCGACTAAACTGATTCTAGCCATTTAGTCAGAAAGATGGACATGAATAGCCGACTGGAGGTCATGTTGGGGTGGCTGTAGCGTAGAGCAGGTCACCTACTAACTGGAAGGTTGGTGGTTTAATCCCTGTGTGCTCCAGTCTGCATGCCAAATATCATTGGGTGACCCCATGTGATGCATCCATTGTAGTATGAATGTGTGTGAATGTTAAATGGGTGAATGAGGCAGTTGTCTAAAGCGCTTTGAGTACTCAGAGTAGAAAAGCAGTATATGAGAACCAGTCCTTTAACCATTTATCATGTTGTAGGCCTCCGTCAGTGCTCCTCCTGTTTCCCCTCACATAAAGGAGCTGCTTGCTGGTGCCCTTCTACGGCCTTGACCAGCTCATCTCATGTAATATTTCTTCGAAACTCTTGAAAATGTGCTGGGAGACACAGCTGAACCTCTTGCAACGGCACGTATGAATGTGCCATCCTGGAAAAGCTAGAGTACCTGTGCGACCTGAATGAACTGCATGTACCATCTCATACTACCAGTAGCTACAAGAACACTAGCAGAAAAAACACCTGTAGCCCAAAACCTATAAAATCCTGGCCTTCATGGCCGCCTATCTTGTTGCTTCTCCCTGTTATCACTTTCATTTGCGCCAGAGCAGCAGAAACCGATTCATCCTTCGGTGATCTGGGTCAGTCTTCCGAAGTTTAAATGACCTTGTGTTCTACTGCGATGGTCGAACGTTCCCTTGACTTTTGAGGAGTGTAATTATTTGAAAATGAATAAAAATGATACATGCTGCTTTTAGGGGGTTTTTTTTCTTTCTGTTTCAAATAAAAATGTCAGATGTCAAAGATGAAAATGTAAATTGAAAAGCTTGATGGAAGGCATTTATTTGTTATCACTGGAGTTGGTTGTGTGCCTCACAGGATACAGATTTCAACTTATTCAGGATGCAGCTGCTCAAATTCTACCCAAGATTTGAAGAAAAAAAAAAGGATCATGTCACTCCAGTTACTCCATAACCTCTGCTGGCTATGAACTGCTTTCAGAAAACATTTTAGGATTTTCCCCCTGGTAGATAAAGCTTTTAATATCTTTCTTTCTCTCAGTCTACATTGTTAATAGACCTCTCAGGTCACAAGATGTTTCTCTCCTTCACAGATCCAAATCATTTCAACATTTTTTTGTGGCAAAATTTAAGCCGCTGAGAGAGACATTTATATACATGAGGCAAATAAATCATGCGTAACTTTGTAAGTTCTCACTATGTGTTTATTTGGATGAATGCTGTCTCGTAACTGGGTGA